CTACATGGGATTGATCTAGGCCCCCTGCACATTTGTTACAGATGTGTAACTTGATCTTCTTCTGAGACCCCTAACAGTGGGAAACAGAGCCTATCTCTGACTTTGTTTTTGCTTTTGGAACTCTATTCCTCAAACTTAGTTGCCTTGTCCATGGGAGGCCTCCTTTTTCTGAATAGAAACAGATGAGTCAATGGTGGGGGCAGCAGAGGGGAGGTTGGGGAGGAGCATAGAAGAAGGGATGGAGAGAATGTAAAATAAATGAATAAGGAGAGAGACTGTTCCCACCTAGAGGAAATAGCTAAAATAAATTCCATTCCTTTCTTGGGCTCTTTAACTTTACCTGCTTCATCTATTTCTTCTTCAATTTTTTTTTTGTGATTAAAAATGTTCATTCCTTCATTTCTCAGTCCACAGAAAATTTCATTGCTGAGACCTTTAACTCCCCTATATGGTCTTACTCCCATTTGTCATTTGGAAACCAATACTAATTGGAGCCTTTTCTTGACTTCTCTCTCCATATGATCCCTTTTGGTACAGGGAAAACCTGCTGGGTCTTACTCACTGATTTTTGTAACCAATTGCTTTTTGGAAAGTGTTTATTAATTCTTAGACTTTTCTTGTGGAGTCTCTTATGTAGAGGATCACATCAGCAGCAAATACTGGTGTTTTCACTTCTTCCTTTCCTATTTGTATCCCTTTCAGTTCTTACCATTGTCTTGTTGCTCTGTCTAATATCTTAAGGACTAGAAAAAAAGAGGAAAGTATTGTCCCCGCTGACTTCAGTGATGTTGTTTGAATTGTCTCCACTTAGGGTGGCGCTGGCTGTATGAATTCACTCTCCCAAGATACTCCCTTCAGGGCTATGATCATGAAAGATGTTTGGTCTTTCTTAAAGGGCTTCTCCCTATTTCATATTATTTTGCCATTTCTGTCTCTAAATGTTTCAGCATAGTGTATCCCATTTATTGCTTTGTCTACATTGAACAAGAATTATAGTAGTAAAACTTATTGATACAGTGTTAAATGCTTTCTCTGAGAGTAACTGACAGTTTTTACTTCAGTGCTGACCAGGAAGATCAGCATAGAATTTCCTGTCTTGTGTGTGTCAGCACAACACAAGCCTCATAAAAAATTGGCATCATGCCTCCCTTTTATGATTTCTGGAAAAGATTTTGTAGTATTGTGTTCACTCTTGAGAGAATTCAGCATTGTACACATTTGGCCCAGGCTTGTGTATGTCTGAAGAAATTTTATACCAGTTTAATCTCACCGCTAACTGTAGAATTAGTTAAGTTGCCCATGTTTTCCTTTTTAAAAATTTTTGTGAATCATAGTGTAGAACGTTGTTCATTTCTTTTATATTTTCCACAGTATAAATTTTTAAGGTGTATCATGAAGATCCTCTGAATTTCATGTGTTATCCAATCTCTTTCATTTATTGTTTTACTTTTAGGGTTTTTCTTAGTTTCCTAAAGGTTAACATTCATGATGCTTCTTTCAAGATACCATTTTTATTTTACTTACTCTTAATTCTGGTAATTGTGAGAACTTACACAGATATTGCTGCACCTTAGTGGATCAGGAGATTGAGTGCTCAGGGAAGACACAAAAGGGAATTCTATTTACACCTCTGTCTTCTAGTGAGGGCACAATGCCGAAAGTTCCACATTTCCCCCCCCAAAAAAAACAGCCTCCCCAGTGACCAAGAATTCAAAATCCAGATTCTATGTACATCATTTCATATCCCAAATATAATATCCAAAAACTATCACACAAGCATAAATAAACAGACATTGTAATTACACTCACACAAAGACATGGATCTGCTGATAGTCATGCACAGACACATGTGCACAAGCAGAAAAAGTTGTATATATACACAGTCACACACACAATGACATGCCCATATATACACAATGACTCTAGTCACAGAGAAAACATACAAACACGAATTTGTACATTTGTATCAGTTTCTGTATGTGTCTACATATTCAAAACATACAGAAACTAATAGAAATGTACGAAGAGAACTACCCAGGCACAAATTCACACAAATAGGCAAAGACACCATTACACAAAGACATTTTCACACTTTAACACATAAACTCATGTGCAATCTCCCAAGCTACCCAGACACACATGGACATTCAATGCACACAGGCACAGACAGCTATCTACATACAAAGGAGCAGGACAATGTATTTTCACTGTGGTGTGGCAGAAAATAGAAGTGAGAAGCAGGGACCTCCAGGAGACTTTGGTCGTAGACCCAACTCTCAGACAATCTTAGATCCTGGAAAGAATGAAAGCAAATTCTTGATGAATGATTGGGTTGGAATTTAGGTGCATTGTAGGACCCAGCTTCTAGCTTGGTGGAGATCAGCTGTCAGTGTCTGGAGAGTCAGGGGGGTTTGCAGAGCTGTCATAAGGATGGGAAGAATTGGAGAAGAAAGGACACAGGGTCCAGGGTGCTGAAGTGTGACATTACAGCTCAGTTATTATTGGGCTGTGGTTGGAAAATCCACTCCTGTGTTCAGCACTGCTATGTGGAGACAGGCTGGTGGCTGCTCTAAAACCTGGAGGTTCTGAGTGGGAAAAGAAAGCATTGTGGCATCTTTTAGTGGGGAATCCAGTCAGGCATAGAGAGGTTGAGAACATAGGAACTCTTGTTATCCTCCTGGCTCTGTGCTCTTAGATATCACTTCCTACTCTGATAGCATTCTCTTTGCTGACGAGGCTTTCTGAGAATGAGTGAAAACACAGGCGGGTGGTTAATTATAGAAATTAGCACCATGCATTCATGAGTTCCAAACAAAACAGTGACACCAGTCTATTGCATGGATGGGAGCTTTGTGCAGATGTGGTGCCACCCAATGCAGGATATACAAGGTCCAGGGAGGCCAGGAGCATAGAGACAACATGGTGACCATGCAGCGGATCCTGCTCATTGTGGTTCTTACCCTGACCTCTGTGGAGCAATCACACTTCAAGAAAATTAGTTTCCCTGCCACTGCTGATCAGGTGAGAGTGCTGGGGATACTGAGTAAATGAACTGGGTACCCACAGACTGACTGAGAGTCTCGGGGCTGCTGATGAGAGCTGCAGGTGAATATCATGAGATGCTCTGTTTTTATCTCAATATCTGTCCTCCAGAATGGCCTTTCTTGATATCTGACATCAGGGGCACTCAGAGGTCAAATGATGGTTTAAGGATGCCTCATTCTCATTATCTGCCACAGAAACCCACTGCCTCCTCTTTCAGTTTGTTGTCTTTTAATAACCTTCTATTAATTCCACAAAATGCATCTGTTCAGTTTATATTTCTCAATAAAAGCCTCATATAGGACAATATACACAATGCAGGGCTGCTGTTTGCAGAAGGCTGAGCACTGCCGGGTGTGGGGAGGTCTGGAGGGCTGGACGTCTTAAGATGTTCTGTTGTTTAAATTGACTATGTGTTTTGAGAAGATGAGAGACGAGGGAGATAATTGGCCTTCTTCCCAGGCCTTGTCACTGATTGATAAAGATGCCCTTTGTGGCTTCTGGGGTCTTTAATGGACTCTTCCTGGTAACTTAGTTGACCTGGAGGCAATCATGTCCCATATATGAAGCTGGTGTGTGGATACTCTGCCCCCATATGACTACTACAGCTCCATCTTCCCAATAGTGCCTTTTGATCTTAAAAATAAATGGATTGACCATCTGCTGCTCATTCTCTTAGACTTGTGCTCTTGTTTGTTTTCTCTTATGTTTCTGTTGGACATGTGCAGGAACCCTGGAATCATTCTATCCCAGGAATGATATCTCTCCTTATACTATCCTGCCCAGATCTGGCCACTCATGAGAGGGGCTAACCATGACCAAGAATCTTTTGATGCTTCAATATATCATTTCCCTTCAAATGGTACAGGCACCTTACTCCAGTTCCCTTCTCCATCTCTTCCTATTTCAATTGCTTCCTAGAACACCTTTCCTTGAATTTCCCTTTACACACTCCTCCATCAGAGGTGAATTTTCTCTCTAGCTTCTAGGAAAGTGGAAAATAATTCGCTGGGCCGGAAACATTCCTATCCATGAAAAGAGGAAGCTCAGCCCACTGCCGCCCTTCACATTCGTCAGGAACTTTCTTGGCAAGTTGGAGTTTAGGATGAACATCTCGTAAGTATCTGCCCTCAGATAGCCCTCTTTTCACTAGGATCAATGGACTCACTGTTCTAACCACCTACATGTCCCTGACAACAGCTGGGCACTCGATGTGAATCCTCTTGTCTTGTCTGGATAATGTGTCAGGTGACTTCTGTAAACAAAGGAGAGATGTGCACAGGACACCAGACAAAAACAGATGACCCAGCAATCACATGCTAGTCTCCTATGACACTCCCAGGAGGACTAAAGCTTTCATCTCTAGTCCCTCTTTGCAGCATGAAGCCAGTGTAGACTCTGTACTTATTTCTGTTCAGGCACAGATCTTTAAGAAGCTCAAGATTTTCACTTAGTTCAATGAATAGTGATGAGCCAGGGGTAGCGAGGGAAGGTCTAGAACTTGGTCTTCTGGGGATACCTTTGGAGACACTGTAGGAGAATCAGGACAGGACCTGACTCTTGGGGAAAATGGCCTGGGCTGTCAGGAATCCTCTTCAGAACTGGGAATATGGGAAATCTGCAGATATATACCATCTCTTTCTGGTCTTCCCACTTGCCATGAAGTAGAGTGCAGAAAGAGGGGACACAGAGGTTGTGGAAAGCCATGTGCTGTTAGCATTGCTAGAAGCTACATGTATCAGAAGGAGGGTCGGTGGTCAACTCATTATATATTTCCAGGATGGCAACAGAGAAGGACAGGGCTGATGCCATGGAGGGATCCATGTTTTTGTCCTGTGTTACAGGAATCCTATTGGATGTATTGAGTTCAAGGTACATCTGGATGAAACTGAACATCCTGGTTACTACACTGTTTGTGAGTACTTGGGTTCACTTGGTTTCTGATGTTGTCAGCTTTCAGCCACATGATTTATATTTCTCCACAGGGACGTACCATGTAGTCTTTATCGTATTTGTGCTTGGGAAAGACTTCGCTGTTGCTGGCCATGTCAGCAAGGTCAGAAATCTACATTACGTGATGATGATGCTAATGGGTGAGTCTCATCCTGCTTAAGATTATGAGAGATAAAAAGTTGGTCACTATCTGTTGCTCTCATGCACTAATAATCCAACTTCTGGTCTTTTTGAGATGCTGGGGTCTTTGAGAGAGTAGTTTGTAAGCTCTTGATGTGTCTTCAGTCCTCTCCAGATAACTCCTGAAGCACAAGGCTCACTTAGCTCTGACTCTTCCCCTCCTTTCTCAACCAGTCCTTTTCCTTGTCCTGTTCTAAGAATGGATCTGATTGGACTCACTTCCCATGGGGACATTGAGAAACATTTGGAGACAATGTGCTATTGTCACGGTATCAGGGCCTGGTCTAACAACCAGATTGTGGAAAACAGAGTTTTACTATATAACTGTTGTACTTAGTTTCCTCCCTTTACCAAGACAGATCTATGGTGCTAAAATTCACATTTGTCATAATATCAAATGAGAAATGTTAGACAAATTAGTGAAGGAAGAGTTCATGTACAGTTTCATCCAGAGATAAGTACAGAAAAATATTTCTTTGTTCTCTCCTTCCTTCAGTTAGTTCAAAATGTTAGGAGAAACTTGAACAAGGCTTAGAAAATCTCAGTGGTTAAGATTTCCTGCTCTGCAAGCATGAAGGTCTGAATCCATGTCATAAGACCTAACAAAGAGCTAGGCATGGAAGCATGCCTGTAACCCCATTATTATAGAAGACAAAGTAGGTCCTCAGAGCTGGTTGCCCAGGCAATGTAGCCACAATGATGAAGTTCAAGTTCAAAGAGAGACTGTGTCTCAAGGGAACAGTGTTGGGAGCTGTGGAGGGAGATGATGGACATCTTGCTCTGGTCAATATCCTTACAAACAGACACACCAAACCATCTACCACACACCCATGAATACACACACAGTCATGTTCACATAACACACTCACACACACACACACACATACACACACTAGCCAAGTGGGAGCAAAAGTAGGTCTTAGGCATGTGTGTATTCCTGTAGAGGGATTTTTTGTCACAACCTAAGGAATACAGGTGTTCTGATCTAGAATTCCATGCTGTGTCTGTTCTCACAGTGGGGTTCTGGATATTGTTGTACACATGAAAACACATGGCTCTAAATTTACCCTTGTTAGGTGGAGACATGACCTCCACCTGCACCTATCACCAGGCACTTAGAGCCCCAATGCTGGCAGGGCATTTCTAACGTCTGGTGTAATCTCCAGTAGCTCTGCACTCGTGATCCTTCAGGACATGAGGCTGCCCTGTGCCTCCTCCCTCTCTCCAGAACAGCCTGACCACCCACTGTCTCCAACCAGTAGTCTCTGCACACAAGACATTCCAACAATGGCCTAGGAGTCTCTCAGCCTAGACATGGAGACTCTAGACCGAAACACCGACTAGTGTCCTTTTGCACTGCTCCAACCTGGTACCCCTCATGCTCAGGAGTATTCAACTGGAGATGCTCTTTCTATGGCTTGAAATCTCCCAGGTCACAGAAAGTGTCTGAATGATAAGTGGGCTAACTGTCTACAGCAAGAGTGTTTTCCATCCACTTGTTTCATATCCACTTGCTCTGCAGGTCGCAAAAAGGCTCCAAAGAAACAAATACTGTTGTTTTTTGAAAACACTGCGAAAAGACAAGGGCTGAACAAAACACACTTCTTCCGCCCTAGATGTGATGGTAATGAGATTACTATTTTGCTTATTTCTATTTCCCTTCCATTCATGATTTTTCTGTAAGACAGTGAGCACACAAATATTCTGCAGGCTCACCTATCTCTGTTTTTAAATAGATTCCTGTGGCACGTGCAAAGTATCTTAATGCATTGAGAAGTACCACAGAGTCTACACAGGACCTGGGACTACTGCACTCACCCTGTCCATCTCTACATACAATGCCAGGTGCCAAAAAAAGGGCACACCTGCATGTCCCTGTAATGCCTCAGTTTTTAGTAAAGGTGGTTGATATTCCCTTCTGTATGTGTCATGTGTGATCAAATGGCGACCTGGTTTTGTTTTACTCTGGCACAAGAAGACACAGAGATGTGACCATGATCGCCAGCATTCATGGGTGAATGACATCAGTGAAATGTCATGCACACAGGGTCACAGGTCTCACCTTTGGCAGCTAGAGCATCTAGAGAAAGGGACATGCCTTATGGCTAGTGAGGGGAAGAAATGGTTATCAGAGTCACAGGCAAGCAGATTTCAGTCAGCAAGTGAGGGAATGCAGGAAAATGGGGTCTCAGTACACACCTCCAGTGTTCTGGTGCCTAAATTTGGATCGTAACCCTGTTGAGAGGGCCATGGAGGAAGTACTGTGCGCTCTGTAAATGGGGAAAACAGAATCTACAGGCAAGGCCTTTACCACCTTTATCAATTAGTTAATCTGGGGCTGAGGTCACCAGAATCAGAGATGTCCAGACACAGGAATTCCACATATGGAGGAAGTTAAACACACTCATTCTCCTCCCCAAGCCCAGATACAAAGGAACCGAAAACTTATCCCACATCTCCACTCCAGTTCCAACAATCTCCTTCCTTTTCACATCACATGCCTTTTCTTGGGGAAAGACATTTTCATACAAACTACAGAAATCCTCTTTCTGCCGTCTTCCCAGATCCAGGAAAACAGGTGGCTTTCCTGTAATGATCCAGGTCAGCCTGGGGCCAGCCTCTGCATGAGGCTTCTGAAAGTCAGTCTTCTATGGCCATGAAATGTGTGCTTGAAAACGGAGCCCATCTGGCACCTGGCCCTTGTGGATGCCAGCCAGAGGTTGTCATCCATAGTGGATTCATGCCCTGAGGAGCGAATGGAAGACAGAAAGCACCACAGAGGGAACAGCCATAGCTCAGAACATCTGTTGTACCTTTCAGCTGCCCCACACAGAGCTTCCAGGACAGGAAAGTGGCAGGGTGCTTCTGAGCCATGATAGGTCGTATTATGTGAATTGACAAACATCTTTCAACACCTGACTGGCAAATACAACAGGGTGAAGTACAGTTACACTTAAAAGCAACTAGGTAAACCAAAGTGTGGTTTGTTTATATAATGATCAAGGGTGAGGGGTTGCTTACATGGGCATGACTGACACATAAGATGCTACACCACTGAAAAGACTCTCCCATGGCATGAATGACAACTTCCCCACAGGTATATAAGTAGAATTTTCTTTAGTTATCATTTTTTACATACTCCAAAATAAGAATATGGGTGGTTTGGATAGAGTGGATGTATCTGGAAGGGAGGTCCTGTAGGGAGTCGATGGAATCTCACCTGAAGGTGTAAGGACTCACCCCAGGCTTAGTTAAGAGAACATCTTCAGACCTGGTCTCAATGGTGTTTTGGTTTGTGGGCTAGAGAAGGAGATGGCTAGAACTGAAGTGGACATGTGGTGTAAATTTTCCCTTTCTTTTTATCCGGGTTTGGGGAAGAGAACATGAGTATTTGACTTCCCCCATATCTAGAATTCCTGTGTCTGGACATCTCTGATTCTGGTGACCTCAGCCCCAGATTAACTAGTTGATAAAGATATTTATCCCTAGTGCACAATAGGCTTTGGGAGCCCATTCTCTATGGAGGGACACTCTCTCAGCCTAGGTACATGGGGGAGGACCTAGGCCCTGGCCCAAATGAAGTGACAGACTTGATGATTCTCCATGAGAGGCCTCACCCTCCCTGAGGAGGCAGATGAGATGGGGCATGGTGTTGGGAATGGGAGGACAGGAGAGAGAAAGAACTGGGATTGGTATGTAAAATAAGATTGTTTTAATTTAAATAAAAATTAATTAAAAAAGAAGATGTTGTGGGTGTTATGCTTAGAGGACAGAGTTCTACAACAGGCTAGGTTAGGAGTTCTCACAGTTCTCAAGAATACCTGAGTGTATGAGGAATAACTGATGAAGAGGGAACCATCTGAAACTGTCATCCTCTGAGGAGGCCCGTGCACCCAGTGATCCCATCCCCAAGGAAACTCAAATTTCTCTCTACAATCCCTGCTGGGTGAGACAAATATTGCTTGACTTCCTTTATCCTTATGTACACACAGTGGGAAGAATTCCTGGTTTCTATGCACACTTGACCCACTCTGAGGCCTGGCTGGCTTTGCTCAAACGGTATACGCCATGGAATTTAGACCGTTGGGAGGATAGACACCATTCAGAGTACCCACTGATAGAGGACAGTTGGGCGGAAGAAAACAGGTTCAAACAAATGGATGAGGTCTCACAGGAAAGCCAGTGGTATGCTTCAGCGGCTATGGAAACTGGCAGTCCAACTTACCTGGATCAAGTGTGTTGTAAGGGGGATGTTATTTTATGGTCATCCCCATGGTGACTTCAGGAAATGAGAGCCAGAGTTGTTCTTGTCTAGTGATCCTCATGTAGAAAGCAACTTTGAAGCCTGGCCACAGGAAGCCTTGCTTCTGGGATATGGTAGAGGTGAATTGGTTCTTATGAACATTAGGCATGTGGCTTATTTCTTGGGCTTCATGGTAGCAGACCAATTAGGGATGATCCAGGGTACAGTGGCTTTTGTTCTAGGATATTGGAGCTATTGGGACCCTAGAGGGTAAGAGCCATACTGGGACTGTATAGAGTCCCAGTATAGAGTCCCAAATATCTCTCTGCAGCCCCTCTTTCTCTCTTCCTGTCCCCTCTCTCTCTGGCTTCCCCAGTTTGCACTACATCTCAACCTGGAGTCTTAACTTTTCTTTACTGCCCTGCTATTTCTACTGCTGTTCTACCAGCAAGCATGGGTCCTCCGGGCTAGCATACCTGGAACACTGAGGGTTCCTAGTCGTTTCGACACACAAGAACCAGAATGCCTCTCTGGGTCATGGAATGCCATACTCTATCTTAGACCCAAAATTTTGGGGGCATTTGGGACAGACACCTTCTGCTTAACTGAAACATGGGTTTTCAGGCAAATTTTAAAGAACACACGACTGAGAATTGGGCCCAGTCCATGTCAGGGGCTGCAGCCTGGGCTCTGGAATGTCTCTTCTGGTCCCTACCTACTTGCTAGAGCCTGAAAGAGAACCTAGCTTTGATTACCCATGTTTTCAGGGTTCTGTCTGATGTAGGTCTCAGGAACCTGGTACAGGAAGACCAGTGTGAAGTTCCTAAACATCAGAGAGTGGAAGAACCCTGTGAAGGAATTCTATTTTGTAGTGAGAGCCCTAGAAAAGAAAACATGAAGATGGCAATGCTATTTATGTGTATCTCACCACTATGCGTCTGCCCAGCTATCCCTTCCCCTCGATACACCAAGTGTTGATGGCAAGCAGAGTCTTAATAAAAAAGGGGCACCATCAGAGCAACCAATCAAAGTCACAACTGCCATTGATAGGCAATGTGGAAGTCATTGATTCACCCTGCAAGTTGTGCAGAGGATGGTGTGGTCTTTGCAAGAGGCTGCTGGTGTACTACCTGTGTTCCAAGCTTAATTGTGAGTGAGTCCAGGTTGATTTCCTGGTAAATAAAACAATACAGTGCTTCTGCCTGCCTGTGTGAATTTCTTTTCCTGTTGCTGTGATAAAGCACTCTGTTCAACAGAATGGGGAAAGGATATTTATTTTAGCTCCCCTTCCAAGGTACAGTCTATCTTAGGGAACTTAAGGCAACTGATGCTTGAAGCAGCTGGTTATATTATATCTACTGTCAGAAGAAGAGAATGAAGGTTTTATGAATGCCTGTGCTCAGGTGGCTTTTTCCATGTAACACATCCAGGGTCTGCTGCCCAGTGGATAGTCCCACCACAGACAAGATGGGTCTTTCCATTTCAGTTATAATGAAGAGAATGTGCCAAAGGCATGAGCCCCAAGTGCTTCTGTCAAGTAGCTGCTTACCTTAACTGTCAGAGTCCATATTGTTTTTTGAGAAGAATCACGTATACCTAGTAAAAGCATTGTTAACCTTAGTTTTCATGAGCTGTTGAAGGGCATGATACAAATATTGCACTTGTTGTTTGAAATCTCAGATGTCAACCCACCAGATGATTATTCTATGGTAGAGAGAACCCTATTCAAGCAAGGTTTACCATAGACTCTGGTAAACACAGCTTCGGTCTGAAATTCACATGTGCTAAAACAGCTGTGGAATCTCCTCATCACAGTGTATTTTCATGTAACTTGTGCATGTACTATTATTAATATCATATTTGCATCACAGTCTTATGGGCACTTAAATCTGTGGACAGGCAAGAAGATGATTTCTCATCAACTGCATACTCTTGATCAACAGAAACATACTATGATATATTTCATAACTGGATTTATTATTCCACAGGGAATATAGAACACTTTGGTTCTGTTTTGTGAAACTGGCTCAAACTGGCATGAAGAAAACAATTTCTTCTCAGTTCTAAAATAAGCCAAATACCATTAATTTATTCAAAACCTAAAGAGCATATTCAAATTAGACTGAATGTCTCTATGTATGAATCACAAGTTAGACTTTCACAGATTATATTCAAGGATAGAGATGCAGGTGTCTGGTTTGTTGAATTAGAGCTTTTAGACACAAAGTCAGCCTAAACCTGCTATGCCAATTTCTGTAGTCAGGCCAAGCTGATAACAGAGACTAGCAACCACTGTCTACTAAATTTCCTAGCAAATAACACTGTTCACAAACTTCTAACCTCAGCTTATGATACAAAATTAAAGGCTCAGATAAGTAACTGTTTATGTTTAAGTCCTAAAATTTATATAGAAAACAAGAATAACAATTAACCAAGTCCAGAGTGTTAAACAATTAATAAAGTCCAGAGAGAAACAGCTTTAAATGGAAAAAGTTTCACAGACAGTAAGGACTGCAACAGATGGTCTGGCCTCACAGCCTTGAATTAAAAAATTAAAAACCTATCTCCTTGTGTTCTGGGGCTGCATGCAGGGTAAGAGTTTTTTTCAAGTTTGGGATGCATTCAATGCCATTAGTCAAGACACCAGAAACCTTGAGGCCCATGAAGATAT